TATATATATATATATATATAACGAATCGAAGGTGGGAGAGATTGGAAATTATTTAGATTACACGTCTCTCGGAATATGAGGGAGGAGTGGACATTGTTATACACTTTTCGTTCAATCCGGGAGAAAAAAAAGGGAGAGTATGTTGATTGGCAACTAGGGTTCTTCACGACTCAGCTGCTCCTATGATGTCCTTGTATGTGCCCTTTATCTTCTGCAAGAATGCTTCCCTGAAATCCAACACAATGTACAAGAACCTGAACAACTACTCCCCAAGCCACTCTCTCGAGTTTCTGGTCCGAGATTTCAGAGCAAGACTCACCTGTCTGGTTTGAAGATTAGGTTCTTGTAAGTGAACCACTGCAGATGAAGAAAGAACAGGTTGTTCCATCACATACAAGATCGCAAACAATAAGGAACAATCCATTGATTACACGATGATCAGATCTCTTGAGTGAGTGAGCTACTGCTGTGTACACTGAAATCTCATATCAAAAGCGAAACTAGTTTCCATCTAATTGCTTGCCGCATTTTCACTAAGTCCAGATTCCACACCAGAAAGCTAACACTGTTGTCCAAAAACACATGTCCGAACATAATGGAGGTCATGCATGTATACCGGAGGCCGAGATTGAGCATAATAAACACTTGGAAAACACCAAAGAGACAATCTTTATAACTGCAGATTCTGCAGAGGTGTAGATAGAACTCACCCCTGTGTAACCAATGCCTACGAGTTCCAGAACTCCAGGAACCAGTGGAAGCCTGTCGATTGCCTGTTACAACATCATCGCTTTGTAATTTGGAGAGTAAATCACTAATGCTAGGCATAAATTCCAAGCAAGAGTGATGAAATTAGGTTTGAAGAATCAGATGATTCTCACCGAGATCATGCCCGTGGATCCCCAGAGCGCCACAGCTCCGGCAAATGCAAGAGAACCCACAGCGTATTTTTCCTCCACTTTGTCCCACTTCAATGTCAATATCGAATAATCAGAACAAATGCCCAGAAACTGAATCACAGAGAGAAATGGAAAAGTCAAAATTTTTTACAGCATCTTGAACGGTCTTGACGATATCCGGCAGCTCCGTTGTCGCCACTTCGGCGGGAGCCTCACCGGTAGCCCTCGCCACGACATTCCTCACCATCTTCCGACCTGAAAACCAACGAACCCATCTCACAATTTCTCATATAGACCCTAAAAAAACATATTAAAACATCAGCTTCGTCGCAGTTTTGGGGACAGACAGTAAGCGGAGGCTTTGGCAGCGCGGGTCTGGGACTGGATGGGTGACGGGGGAAGCGTCGGAAGAGTGACACACGACGGGGAAGCGGAGGCGGATTGCCGCGGAGGAGCCCGGGAATCGATGATGGTAGACGAAGAAGAGATAGAAAGGGTAGTGGAGGAAGAGGAGGCCATGGCTGATGATGCTCTCGAGGTTAAAGGGCTCAGAATCGCAGAAACAGAACGGCAGAAGAAATTATTAGGAAAATATATTCAACGGAGCCGAAAACAAAAAGAAAAAAAAAGCTTTAATGGTGATTGTGAGAGTGATACTGATAATTCTGGGGAAATCTGGTTGTGGAGATGGTTCCTCGTGGCTTGTGGGGTGTGGTCGGAGACGAGATACGACCACTCGTTTGGGTTCCCGATCAGGATAGTGCTGACGTGGCGGACGCGGATTTAGTGTGGAGTTTCCGTTGGATAGAAGACTGCATGGCACTTTTCGTTTTGTATGATTACGTGGACTGAGGGTCTTGGTGGGCTTTCTTGATTAATGGGCCGAACATTCAGGCCCATTAGTGGGTAAGATCCAGGGATTTGGTGTGTGTGATTTTTCTATATCGAAAATTTAACGATGTAAAATTAAAAGGGGATATCGCCATAAAAACTCTGTACTCTTCACAGGTCAACGAAAAAACCCTGTACTTTTTTTCTTACCAATTAAACCCTATATGTCATGATTAACCAATAAAACCCCAAACTTGTTAATAATTCACCGAAAACCTCCCGCGCCTGCCAACTCAAATAAAAATGATGATGTGGCAATAACTTGGTTTCCAAATTATGTACACATCATCAAAATTATGACACATCACCATTACAAACAAAACTAAATTACATAATTATTTAAATTAATTTATATACATATAAATTCACATATATATATATATATATTAAATATAAAATTACTTATAACTAATAAAACATATATGTATATATATTATAAATTACATTAAAAATAATATATATATATATATACATATTATTTGTTAATATATATTGTATATATATTATTTTTTAACCAAATAAATAACAAAATAAAGCATGATTTTAATTTTAAAACTATCATCTAAAAACATGTTTAAACACCAGTTACACCACTAAGATTCGAATAAAATTTGATTTCAAAATTAAAGATCCTTAAATAAAATCATTCCCACCCCCAATATATTCGAAAATTATGTAATTTTGGAAAGGATCGTGCAATAACAGGATATTAACCATATTTTTTTGTAATTTAAAAGTTTATCGGTTTTTTAATCCAATTAAATTTTTAAAAAAATCAAGAAATCCGGATGAATATCCTTACCGTACAAAATACGTTGGATAGTTTTGTCCTAATCATGTAAGAACAATATCATTAGTATATTTATATATATAAATTAATTTAAATAAATTATGTTATTTATTTTTATTTAAAATGATGATGTGTCATAATTTTGATGATGTGTACATAACTTGGAAGTCAAGTTATTAACACATCATCATTTTTGTTTGAGTTGGCGGACGTCGGGGGTTTTCGGTGAATTATTAACAAGTTTGGGGTTTTTTTGGTTAATCATACTAAATATAGGGTTTAATCGGTAAGTAAAAAAGTATAAGGTTTTTTCGTTGACCTGGGAAGAGTACAGGATTTTTATGGCGATTTACCCAAATTAAAATTAAGACATTAACATGTTAATACTAAAATATTTAATGAAAACTAATTTGCATACTAAAATACATTTTATCTCCATTTTTTCTAGTGTATTTATATATTATTTATAATACTGATACAATCTAATCTATATTCTGTGGGCTTCGTTGACATTACGTAAAAGTTATCATGACAAAGACCACATTTCAATTGTAACCATAACTTGGATGAGTGAGATAAACGAACAAAAGTGAAACAACAAAAGTCAACGTGAAAATATATGAACATAAGACAGGAAAGGTCAAACAAGTATCTGGTGGGGCCCAGAAGCCGAGTGATGAACCTTGAAAACTCCGATAACGTACCAACAGCAAATAATATAATTCCGGCAGACACTAATGTACGAATTCTTATTCTTCTTCTTCTTCTTCTTCTTCTTCTTCTTCTTCTTCTTCTTGTTAATACTTTTGGATTTACGCGTTAATCTAATTTTGAGCCGTCGATTTGGTCGAAAATCTGATGCACCGCCGTCGATATCTCGTCGGCCGACCCCAAGATGCAGTCCTCTTCCATCTGCCGAAAGATCGAATCCACTCAGTGATGATTTTGAAAGATGGGTTTCTTTTTTCTGAAAACAAAAACAAAAAAAATCGGAAGTACCTTAAGGTTGAAGGAATAGAACACAGACGCATGCGAACAAGCGACGTTGAGATGGAGAACAGTGAGTCGAAGATCCTCCAACGAGATGATTGCTTTCAGAAGCTGACCTTGTTTCTTCGGGCACTGAACTTTCAGATTGACGTGATTCTGTATAACTGTGGCCTCGATTTTGGGGCTGGAAGCTTGATCTTCGTTACTCATACACCACTCGTTCGATGAAATGCCTCTTACATGGTTACTCGCCAAATTTGCATCCATGGTTTCTCCTTCACCGCCATTCTTTTGCGTTCTCTTTTGGGCTTCAAGGGATAGCAAGAGTTGCTCGAGAGCCTTCACGAAGTCTATTGCCCCTCCAATTATGGACGCTTGGTCTCCCTGCAGCAGAACAAAGGGATAAGCTATGTAACGGTTGAAACTTTCGTGTTCAAGATGCGACGATGCCAAGAGCTGCAGGTTTTCGTCTTACCCTTTGGACGTAGGAAGGTGGTATGAGGATGCGGAGGGAGTTGAGGTGGTCGTTCATTTGGCGTCGCCGGTTTCGTTCAACGGCAATGTGGGTCATTCTCTGGTTCTCTATGTCTTCTATGTTCTTTGTCGGCTTAGTTCTCTTCCGCTTTCTCCTTTCTCGACTCATTGATGGGGGCAAGTGGCTGTTTTTGCGTTTGCTCCTCCAATTACCAGTGCATGGTGACGAGGAAGAAGGGAGCGTATTTGCCGAGCTAAGCAAGTTCTCTAGCGGGTTAAAGGGGAGTTCTTGGTTTGAGATAGCTGGATGGAATTCCTCCATGCATGAGACTGAAGCTGGGTTCTGGTGGAAGCTGCTGGTCTCGGAGTGGATCGATGAATGAAAGTCAGGAACTTCATGCGTGTTGTTTTCAAGTTCCCATGGCTTCTTGAGGGTCTGGAGAGACAATAGAGCTAGAAAGTTTGGCTCTTTGAAGGACAAAAATGGTGAGGGCTCTCCGTTTTGTAGCATTTGTAGTAATGGAATTGTCTCTTGCAAGCCCGGTGCGGAGATCTGCTGAACTTTTCTCTCTTCCTCATCCTCAAGTCCAAAGCTTTGAGCCTCTGCAAATCCATGAACTTCTAGGCTCCCCACATCTACTTGCCGATGCAAGGACTGCAAGAAGACAAAAAGAAAGAGAAACCCAGAAGTCGATTTGTGAGCAAAAAAGGTTGGATTTTTTAAAAAAAGAAGTGAATTCTACTGTTGGTTTGGTTGGTGGGTCAGTCCTGAGAAAGAAAAGAGCGCAAAAGTAGAATGAAAAGTGGAATGTTTCAAAGAAAGGGAAACAGTTGATAACAGATTGTTAGTGTTTTATGTGTAAAACAAACAGGTCGCATTGAATGCAGGCATCTGAACTTAGCGAGGAGTAAATGCAAGTCCACGTCTTGATTCCAAAGAACACGGTTCAAGCCAAGTGAAATAGAACAAGAGAGAGGGAGGGAGGAAAGCGCCCTAATCTAAGCACACATACGCTGGGATTGATGTGTCCTTGAAGCTTCTCCATGACGAGGTGTGAAAAACTTGTTTGATATGTAATTGTATATTCATCTCTCTCTCTCTCTCTCTCTCTCTCTCTCTCTCTCTCTCTCTCTCTCTCTCTCTCTAGGGCTTAGGAGGAATACATTGTTGGAGGCTGCTAGAAATAAAAGGGTAGCAATAAATGCAAAGCAGCAATGAAGCAGAACAGGAAACCTATGTACTCTATTCTGGTTAAGAGACTTCTGAACCTGGTTGTGTTAGCCTTATATAGGACAATGGTCTTAAATGCAATGGAGAACAGAATAAGGGCTGTTTTATTTCTGTGGTGTGGTAATCAAAGATGCAGGCTTTGAAGGAAAAAAAAAATGGAATATGAAAATGAGACGTGAAAGAGAGGGTAAGGACTCCTAAATACAAAGAGGTGTAAAAAAAAAATTGGACACCAGATGTATTTGGTACTGACGAGTTGGTGAGGCTGAGCAGAGCATAGAGAGAGAGAGAGAGAGAGTCATATTGGTCCTGAGAGAGAGAGAGAGAGAGAGAGAGAGAGAGAGAGAGAGAGAGAGAGAGAGAGTGTCTCTGACAGAGCAAAGGTCCCGAGGAAGGAACATTATTGGCGGTGGCAGTTTTGTCCGGCAGCGAGGACAGCCAGTTGTGGGGACTTGGGTTAATACACAGAAGAAGAAGAAGAAGAAGAAGAAGAAGAAGAGCTTCCATCATCATTCACATATCATTCATTTGAGGGTTTGGGTGTTGTTCTTCTTCTTCGTGGACGAATCCCAAAAGGGTCGACCAGTCTTGCTCTATCCGTACTAATAGATTGAGAAAGGTCCATTATTTTCTAAAAGATTATATGCATCATCTTTCATTACAACTTCTGCAACCAGATTTAGGTTCATTCACATTTCCCTCGTGTTGATAACTTTGTGATTTTTGGGACCTTATCTTTAGGATAATGTAATGCGAATGTATGAATTGAATACCCTGGCTTTAAGGTCACTAAACAGTGAATGTCCTATGGAAAGTTTTGGACGACCTTCACCTCCCACAGAGCAGGGGCATTGACCTCACCTGTGTTGGGGACATATGTCTTCTGCCCCTTGCCCACCAGACTCCCAGTTTAGATGATATTTTCTCTTTTTTTTTTCTTTTCTTTAAACTAGTCTTCAATGGATTTATTACACCAAAGTAATACGACTGATATGTAGTTGTGGCCTTATCGTGGAAGTTTTTAGAGTTTTTAGAATCCAAAAACCAAAAAAAACAACATTCAAGTTTTTACAAAATTATTTTTTCTAAAAACTTGGAAAGTCATTTTAGTGAAAAAATTAATGAGAAACCAAAAGCTACTTTTTTTGAGTTTTCAAATATTATAAAATCCAAAAGCCAAAAACCAAAAACTAAAAACTAAAAACCAAAAACTAAAACCAAAAACCCAAAATAAAAGATATTACCATTCAAAGCCTATATATATAATTCCATAAAAATTACGACATGGGTTATTCCCAAAATCCTATTTTTTCGGATTAATCCAATAAAGTTTTCTCCTTTGGGGACACCCTAAACCCATAAATTCAATAAAAAAAAGATCTAAAAAAAATCTTATCCTCTTCTTCTGGTTATGTGGCCTCTGTTTGCACACACTCTTGAAAAAACTGCCAAAACGATTCGAAGATCGCCGCAAACTTCGACAATATTCACACAACCTCGGTAAAAAAAAAACCACACCATTTTTTTTTTGTTGAAAAAAGGGTCAATCTTTACATAGTTTAACGAATGCCTGCCTTAGAAACCTTATCGACAAAACCAACAAACGAGGTTTTTTATTTAATTTTAAAGTATTGATTTCACTACACAACTCATATGGGTTTTGATGATGTTGTCACTCACAAGCTTTGGTTACTTGCTCTCAGGACAGAATATGCCCCACCACTTCTAATCTCATCACTCCCGTGCGTAGTTCCGTGACATCTAACTACATGAAAGCCGACCCCTGTTTCTCAGATAAAGTTAGATGACGTTACCATTTTTGTTCAGTGAAGCTCTGTCACTTCCCTTTCCATGGGAGGACGAAAGCTTCTTTCTGAAAGTGGAACAATCCCTTGCATATGCTTATAACCTGTTGTCCCTTGCATATGCTTATAACCTGTTGCTGACATGTATAGCAAGAATGTAACAAAAGAGCTGACACTGGAAAAGTAGATATCATATTATCAAATCCCAAAGCTTATGGTTTCATATGGCATGAGAGAATGGTAGTACAGAAAACCAATCAAGTAGAGATCATAATATCTCGGCTTTTGGCTTAGCGCTCGATTTGTATTGTAACATGGCTGATGTTGTACTCTGTTCGGATGTAATCGATCACTTTGTCCAGCACCATGTCCGCATCTGCTTCTGGCCTGATTTTGACATGGCATGCCAACAGAACTTTGCCCACTGTGATAGCCCAAATGTGCAGCTCGTGAATGGCCACCACCTCTTCCATTTCGAGCATACCCCTTTCGAGTTTTGTAGCATCGATCTCTCTGGGCGTGCTCTCCATCAGAACCTCCAGTATGTTGCGGATCATGTTGATGGTCGTTCCCAAGACAATCACCGAAAAGGCCAGCGTGCAGATCAAGTCAACTATTCTCCATTCCGGAAAACGCCAGATGATAGCCCCTCCAATCATCACTCCAACACTCTGGATGGAATCCCCTAGGACATGAAGATATGCCCCTTGAACATTGATATTCCTCTTCTTGTGTTCCTTCTCTTGAGGCCCAGGCTTCGAATTATCCAACAGTGGCTCGGTGTGATCCCCGTGACCATGATGATTGTGTTCACCTTCTTTGCCATGCTCTTCATGACTGTGATGATGATGATGATGAGTGGTAACCATCATCCCATGTCCATGTCCATGTCCATATCCATGGTCATGATTGTGATGGTCATGACCATGTCCATGATCATGTCCAAGCAGAACAGCCATCACAATGTTTACCGCCAGACCAAAGGCAGCAACGAGAAACATAAGAAAGCCATCAACAGGCTCTTTCTCATTAACAAGTCTAACAATGGCTTCATAAACCAAAATGCCCGTGAGCAACCATATGAGCTGTATAGAGACGAGAGCGCCCAAGATCTCGATCCTGAAAAACCCATAAGTCTGACGTGGAGTCGCTTCCCAGCCAGCAGCCCAGAGGGAGAACAAAGAGATTGCAAAAGCAGCAACATCAGACAGCAAGTGAGCTGCATCAGTTAAGATTGCCAAACTGTTGGCCTTAATGCCACCAACTACTTCTAGGCTCATGAATATAAGACATAACACCACTGCTATACAGAGCTTGCGCATGGAAGCAGTCCGTTCCTTAGCATCCTTGGAAGCTGATCCATTGTCTGAAAATCCACATGGTGCTTCCCCACATATTTTGCCTCCTCTGTATGTTCTTTCTCCACCCGGATTTTCGATATTAACCTCAATGATGTGACCCTGTCGGGGACTATGTTCCTCCATCTGGAGAAAGGGGATATAGAAATTCGAATCAATAAATCTATGAATGGGATTCTGTTTTTGTTGATCTCTTTCTTTGTTGCTGATCAAACAAGAACCTCTGACTGAACTCTCAGATTCCAGAAATAAAAGTAAGAGAATTTGTGAACGGATCAACATCTACAAAGCACAACTCACCACCAAAAAGTAGGATTCATGGTGAGAAATCAAAGTACCTTATGCCCAGTTCGATCAAAGCAGAGTGGTTTTCCGTATTCGATGAGTTGTTCCAAACGAGGAAGCTATATTTATTCAAAAAGCTCAATCTGAGGACCGTGACATTGACATGCACACCCACCACAATGGGTCAGTTTTCAAGCGAAACAAGGAAGAGTAAACAAACGTGGACACAACGAAGAATTTTTTACGCCATTAGTCAACAAAGGATCGACGTTTCACGCCCTCTCGAAGCAGAATGAATCAAAACCCCGAGATTATACAATGGAATTAGGTAAATATTGATTCAAATTCAACCCAGAAAACTATCAGGAAATCAAAAAGTACCCATCAGACCAATTCTCGATATTACGGCCGAAAAGAGGAGGCCCGCGTGGCGAGACGAAGGACTCAGGAGAGGGAGTATGAATGAAACTCACCAGAAGAGAGTCAAGTTTCTGTGGCTTGTTCAAGTGTTTCTCCGAGAAAAGCACCGAACTTGTGGCTCGGTCCCTACTCCTACTATTTGAAATTGCGGCTCGCTCTCTAGGGTTTGTCCGTTGGGATTTTGGTTGAATGGGAGAGTCGTTCTTCGTTTGGTTTTTGACGGGGGAGATAAAAGGGAACAGGAGGGGTCAATTTGGAAGCCGAAAGAAGTGGCGACGTGGGATGTTCTTATCAAACCCTAATAGCCGCCACAATAAAAGCACATGGTGGGAAACAACCGTAATATTCAAAAACAATTTAAAAAAAGTTACGCATATCAAATCAAATCTAACCTGGTGGGCAGATAACCTTAACAAAATAATAAACAATACGTATATAAATAAAAAAAAAACCGAGTTCATTAATATAAAATTAAATAAATATTTTTTTAATAAAAACAATAATTAAAAAACAATTGAATTCGAGGAGAAGAAGAAAAACAGAAATACCATTAGCTAAATAAAAAATTATTATATCTTTACCTTTTTTAATTTTAATCCAACCTTCAATTACAGAAGAAACTAGAAAGTGACGGTAAAATTCTCCATTCGTTAAAGCGGTTGAAGCCTAACTTCAATTACAGAAGAAGAACAAGAAACTGACAAATGAAAACTCCCCACTCGTTGTTGTAAAAAAATAGGGACAGTAACATTTCATTTCAATAAATTTTACCAACCAAAACCCAGATTATACTCTCGCAATGTTAAATAAACAAACATATATGTATATATATAAACCCTACACGCGATTCAACTATCTGACAAGAAACA